ATTCAACATCAGATGCATGATTGAATTATCCGCTGGGTATTTTAACCTCCTCATCAAAAGCACTGTACTTTCTTTCCCTGCTTTTACCTCCATTAGACAGAGATTACAGATCTTTTCTACTGTGGAGGGGATGCAAAAGGAAGTCAGCACTTAAAGCGATAGATGTTTAATTGATGCAGCACTCTAACTTAAAAAAAAAAAAAAAGCTTTTAGTATAGACATTTCTCACTACACAAAAATAGGTGAGAATGACCTGTTACTATTCTTCTGACTTAGTTAAGTAAAGCACTGTAAGGGTTGAGGGGACCTGAGACAAGAGATATACAATAAAACCTGGCTGATATGGGCAATAAAATACTGCATTAAAAAAATACATCCTTTTCTCCGCAGAGAGAATGCTGACATTTAAATACCAAGAGAAATCAAATTAGCTTTTCATCTGAAAAGAAGTGAGAGGGCATTTCTATGTGACCCCTGGAGAATCCTGATATTGTAGGGCAGCTGTCAAATAAAGCACCTACATTTGCTGTATGAGGCTGGAAAAGAATTCTGGTATTGACTACTGCAAGACATTCGGGAACTAACGGAAGGTGTTAGGCTCACTGGTCTGCTAGGAAAGGAAACAAAGCAGATCATTAGCATGGTTCTCTGTGCAGCACAGGAATGATTTCTAATGACTGTATACCCAAGTACCTCTAGAGAGGAGAGAAACAGCCACCAGAGCCATGTCTTACATTCAGGGTTCAAAGAACGAGAGCTTCATGGTTCTGCCCTGCAGCAGCAGAACTGGGATTCTCCCTGCAAGATCTCAAACTATCTGTAACATTTATGAAACATTTGGGGATTCATACTCTTACCTCTCAAGCTCCAAATGCCAGCAACAGTTGACTCATCAGAGCCTAAAGTAGAGCAGAAAGCATCAGGCAAGGTTTCCTGTCAGGAATCTGTGATTTCAGGGGGAAACTGGGACCTTGGAACTCAGCTCCTGACATGTCTAAGGGCTGTCATCTGACAACCACGATCTCCTCGTTTTTGCAGGAGGACCTCTGGTGATCACCTGAGATCTGCTAAGGCTTAGGACAGTGTTCACTTTTAGAATCATTCTTGATAAGAGTCAAGATGGGCCTGGAATTACAGCAAACATTTTTATTTACAAAAATGCCTCGGTACCCTCAGGTTAGCTGCCACCACCTGACCTGGACAGGAAGGATATTCTTTAAACTCAGTTCCACCAAACTCATTCAACTTCTCTGGTCCTGTACGTCACAACGCCAGCAAGGCTCCTTGTTAAGTGCCAGTATCCGGGCATATGCTTAGCTCAAGGAAGATGTGGTCTAATTTTACACCAAATAACAACTATAAGGAAGTAACCTTTGGTCTAGGTTAGAAACCCACAGATGACTGATTCCTCCTCAACCAAGTAATCCCTTGAGTAAACTGATGCCTCACGACTTCAGCCTTACACGCCGGCTGTTAACAGGTAAAAACAAGCATCCTGGCCACACAGCTTTTTGCTCTGTTTCCCTCTTCCTGCAACATCCATTTTCATACTATTACCTTTATTAATGTGCCTTTGCCTCCACCTTCCTCTAAACAGAGACATCAGAGACAGATGTTCAAAGGAGAACTGCCACATGTGGCTCCTGACTAAAGCCTTATCCCTTCTCACAGGGTTACAAGGCAGAGAAGACTACTAGGCTTATCCAGCAGTTTAACATCTAAGCACTGTGCCTCATACACTCCACTGCTATTTATACTCTACTGCTCCAAGCAGAAGGACACATCAGCGTAAGCTGACGGCACCCTACTGCATGATGCAACGAACAGCAAGAGCCCTCCCCTTCATGCCTTGGCACTGCCCAGGGAAACTAGAGCTACGGGCACGCCACACTCCAGCCCGACAGCAGCAGCCCCGCCGCCCGCAGACACCTGCAACCCAGGCACGCTGCAGCGCACAGTGACACCAGTGAATACTGCCATTACAGTACGTGTTTCACACGTGGGAATTTAGTGTGTACATCTGTTTGATGCTCATGTACATAAATGGGAAAGGAGCAGAAGCACCTGATGCGTACCAGGCATTATTACTGCTGCTGGGGAAAGTATATACAGGCTGCTTCCATCACCTCCCTCCTCTGAGATTTCACTCTGAGCCATGGCTGCTACAACTTAAAGCCATCGAGCTCTCCTTTCAAACAGATATTTATCAATGCAAAATAATTACTCATGGTTCCTACCCCAGAGTGAAATTAGAAAGACCAGAGGGAAGAAACAAGAAGGGCTGTCGCTGTAAGGAAAGGGCTGTGGAGAGCTCCCATCCCAGCCGCATGTTCCTTGGTTACCCAACTGTGCCCGCCAGACTGGGCTCCTTGTCCCTACCACTCTTCCAGAACTTTGTTAAAACAGGACCCAAATCCAATCTCTGAGGATGTACGACGTGAAGCTCCAGAAAAGCCTCGTTGAATCACGCAGGTAAACAAGAAGCACATGGAAGTTTTTGAAGCTTTTAACAGGGTGCCTTTGATAACTAGGCTTGCCTGCCACGAAAGCTTTCCTAGAACATCCCTTTCAATGACCAAGAAGCTTCACTGCAAGCAGGTATGTTAAGCACATTAATAAGCAACTAGAAAAAGATCTCCATAAAGACAGCGCTCTGTTTCATGACTACAAGCCAAACTGCACTATCCTACAATTACTTAAAATTAATCTCCATTTCGCCTTCTTAGTAGGTTAGTCAGAAACCTGGAGAGAGGGAGGCAACAGTTCTAAATTTTACAGTATGCCAGTCTCATTCTTTAAAGTTTATGGATTTTTTTTTTTTAAGAAAATACTACAGTGGATTCTAGCAGGAAAATTGTTTCACTTAATATAAATATTCTGATGAAATCAAAGGCTTTATAGTTCACTATGTGGTTAAGTTCTGACTGATAAAGAGGCAATTTTTTTCTGCTGATCAGGAAATAGACTTGCTTTATAACCAGTAAATGACTTCCCAGCTCAGGAAATATCTTACTAAAGCCAGCACTGCCAGCTCCACTGGCTTAAAAACAAAACTAAGTAATTCCTGTTGACCAGCAGTTACATTCTGTACTTCCCTAAGGTCTAAAAATGGTGTCAGTTCAAAAGTCGATCCTCTCACTTTGTTTGCCAGGCCAAAGTATACAGACTAAACCAGGACCTGCTTCTACCCACTCTGTACTACAATCGCCAATGTGATCACCAGGGCCCAACTTCTGTGTGACTACACGTTCAGAAAAGTTGAGATTATACAATACTATTTAAACAAAATAACGTGATCCTGTAGATCCTTCTGGACATTTAAATATAGCCTGGCTCATCTGAATGACTGACTTCTTGCCACAAGAATGAGGGTTCCACCAGGTCAGGCCAGTCCTGCAATGGTTTGGAGATGCTCTAGGCTTCATTTGTATAGTGAACTAGTTTTCAGCTAAGGCAGTAATTTACTTTGCTGTGTTTTTCCCCCTTACAAGTGCCTGGTCACGCCAGTTTCGAGCTTTGTAAGCAGGCAGTTCACAGACTGAGTCCAAAGCGTCCCTCTTCTACCGTTTCACTGACAGGGAAAGCGTCTCTGCTCCCACCGGGTGGATGGGAAGGACTCCGGCAGTGGCCGGACAGCACCAGCTCTAACAGGAAAGGAAGATGTGATGATTCCTAAACCCCTGATCTTTCCCAACAGACGGCAAACTCCAGTGTTGCAGGAAGGCTCTACAGCGAGCCCTGGGGTCTGAAGGTCTACCCATTTCTAACCGGCTATGAGAGGGATCCCCCCCCCC